TATATATATTCTGAATTTTCTGAATTAAATAATGCTATATATAAATCAAATTACTTTTTTACCAGATACAGCTAGAAATATGGTTAATATACTGTTTCAAACTAATTAAGGTTTTATAAGAGGAAGGGCTTAAGAATTGGAATATTTAAATACAGTTAAACTATAGATTTAGTTTGGTTGCTATCAAAGTTTGCATGCTGAACAAGATAATTTTGAAAAGTGACCAAGATTGTCACTAAAGACAGCTAGTATCTAAAATTTATCCTACTCTAAAGTTAATCGGAAACTAAGAGAATTTGAATTAACCAAAACGTGGTAACAGCGAGGTAACTTAATTTAACGGAGGAGTAACTCAAGAATACATTTATTTTCAGGTGGTTATTATAGTAAAGTTATCTTTTTTTTCTTCTGGCGATAATATTTTAGAGTGACTTTATCTAAACATGAAATTCAATATATCTAAGATATTTTGCTGATACACGAAAACTCTCTGGTTACCTCAAAAATCATTTTTATTAAAACAATTGATTTTATCAAAAGAATTATTTTCTGTAAAACGCAATGTTACATTAAAAATGCTTGTGAAAAAATACCTGGCATTTTTAGTTGAACTTTTTGAAGGAAATTTTGATTTGCATTTTGCCATCATTTAAAGTTTTAGAAGTAAGGTTACCAATATAACTGCGACAAATTACTATTTGAAGGTCACAATGCTCTGTTCTTTAGTTATTTATGTTATTTAAGTTATTAAGTTCTGCATACTATTATCAAAACTATTAAAATGTAACTCTTAACAAGATTTCACGTGACACTTTTATTTTGTAACATAAGCATAAATGTTCTACTTAACTTAAAAGCAAAATTTAAGCGTGTTATTAACTGTTCCATTAAACTTAAAAGAAACAATTGACAACTAAGCGTGTGTTTGTAATCAATCTGTTCAAAAATTACCTTCAAATAATTTAATCACAATTTCACCAAAACTTTATCATTTTTACAACGACAAAAAGAGGAATTAATAAATATATTGCTACATTAATCTGTCTTCAATAGCTGGTGAATGAAATGAAAGGTTTCTAAGTTAATCACATGGGCGAGAAAATAAACTTTAACTTCATAGTTAATTTTCCCGAGAAAATATATACGTATGCTTCTGGTATAGAAATGTCTAAGATGACGTCACTTCACTTACCTCTACACTGGCGGCAATCCATCAACGATCAATTAGTTAGATAGCAGATGTTTCTATTTGGATAGAAATACGTATCGCTCAATAGGAATTGTGCAAACAGCTAGTTGACATTCACAACCACAAAATTACTATAATTGATTGATTTATTCCACTAAAAGATGTAGTTTAGCAACTGGTTTGGACAACTCTTACATTCCAATTCATTTAATTAACTCTGCTAGGAAAAACACTTTCACTTTCTTACAGATTACTTAGTTAGAGTTTTAATTTTAAAATTAGTTATTTTATGTCTCGTAGTTTCGTGTAGTCATACTCAATTGATGTCTTTAGCAAGCAAGATTACTGACTATGAATTAGTGCCATATTTGTTTCTTATAAATAAGAAATAATGATCTCCAAATTGATATTTTCGAATAGAAATTATGAGAGTTTAAGTTTTAACCCTATCACAGCGATGCTTTTCTATTAACACAAATGGGAACCTAACTTGTTCTTATTAAAAATAAGGAAAGCATTGGATTTTTTTTCCGACTATTAGATGACATGGAATAAATCAACACAAATCCAAGACAATTTAATTGAGACACAATTTTTCACGTAAAGTAAATATAAATTTACATTATAGATATTATGTAAACAGATACTTATTTATAATTCGAAAGCAAATAAAGCGAAAGCTTAATTCTACTTAAGCGAAGTGTGGTTCATTATGCTTTTATTATACATAAATGGGATTCCCCACTTCAAATTTCATTTTCCTCAAATAAGTTTTTTTCTCCACATTATACCTTCTTAATATGAGTAGGTAATCATTCAATTAATTTATACAAGGATAAAATCCTTTTCCTTTTCTCATTAAATGAGAGAATAAATTTTCTGGCATTAAAGTTTTACCTTTATAAATTCTGGTGTAGCATCACCAAATCGTTGTACACTCAGCTGACTTGCCACACTTGCTTTAGAGCTATTACCTAAATTGAAAGATAATAAAAAGCAAAATATATCTTTACATTTTTAATGTATGGCTTAAAGTAAATCTATCGTTCATATAAACGCATAATTAGTAATTGCCGATTTTATAATTTGTATTTCATTTAATTAAATTTATGAAATTTAAAATACATATTCTTAGCTCTTACTTGATGTATTAGATATCTTTCTGGAAAGAGTCGAATGTAATGAAGAATCAGTTATTGTTGGAGAAACCTTATTTTGTTGATCCGTAATCTGAAAATAAAAATTTATATTGAAAGGAAAAAACAATATTTTAATACTTTAATGGCAGTTTGTAAAGAATTTTAAATAATGATAATAAAGATAATTTAGTTTAAACTGGCGCAATTTAAAGCACACTTTTTCCTTATGTTTGAATAATACTGTTCAATTTTTCTACAATTGGTTACAATACGGAAGGTTAGTATTTTACTTAGTGAAAAATTATTTCATAAAAAATACATGATGTCGGTTACTAAGAGAATCGAACTAATCACCTCCACGCTTTTAGGATGTCTAAATTGAAGACAGAATTCTTGTGTTAGGAAAAAAAAAGAAGAAAAAAAAAACATTCTACTGTCCTATAAAAACCTACAGTTTGTCTAAAATAAGAACTCCTCCAGACATTCGTCTGGACCTGTGGCAGTGACCATGGTAACGAGGTATGACTATTTTAAGTAGGGGTGCGGGGTCACAGTTTTGGAGTGGTTTCGGCAGGAGTTGGCGAGAGAAAGGGAATATCTTCGATCTATTGTGTTAGTCCTAGAATAAAGCTACCCTCCCTAAAATGCGCCATTCTTGTTTCCATAGCACCAAACGGCTTTAGACTTTATGGCGGGAGGAGTTCTTAGCTTAGACAAACTATATGTCTTTTCGTGGAGCTGGTTTTTGCATTGTTTTGCATTTGTGCATAACTTAAATTTAAGATTATCAGTATGTATATAAATATATATGCAACATAAAAAGCTTCAATTAATCTTTTTATGTCATTTCTTTTCTCTAAATCATTTTCTTAGTTTATTATTCAAAACAAAACGCTTTCTCACACTTATAAATTCACATTCTGTCCTTTAATTTATTTTTGGCTCAAGTATGCATTAATTAAAAGTAAGATATTTTTCTCTTTGTGGGAATCGCACGACCTATTTAATAAACCAACTCCAATTTTATTTTCTAAATGCTTTATTGTAGCGCTTCATAACATATGTAATAAATGCACCTTTTTCATGAGGTCATAAAACTCTACACCCACGCTCCAAAAAAATTCTGCAATAGTACAAAAAATCTCCAGCAGAAAAAGTGCCAGAAAATTTCCACATGATAAAAAAGCAAATAAACAAAAGGAAGAAAAAAAGTTGATAAAATTTTTTTCGTAACAAAGTTTCGTACTGAATTCCTTCTATACGGCTGGAGGATGTATATGTATGTATATGGATGTATATGTGTGTAAATGTATGTACAATTGACGTAAAAAATGCGATGTTGATTGTGGTTATCGTGTCAAAGCAAACTATATAGCAAGGCTATATAGCATACTTAGTATAAAGACTTCAAACTATATAGCATACTTAGTATAAAGACTTCATTTGCCATAAAGCGTGTTTATTGTACATTGTCATCAATGTGGAGTACTGAGGAAAAGTTTTCCTTGGCTAAAGTCTGGAATCGAACTAGGGACGTTTGGGCCCGTAGCCGGATGCTCTATCCACCATGTAAAATTTTAATCGATCAAATTTTTAAACTCAGAAATTTTTTATGGTACTTAATAAGTAATACGCCAAAATTAATGTAGTGTTATGGACATTATTTTTACTTTAAAATATTGATGTTTAAGGTATGAGATTTCCATTAAGTCGGCTGACATTTTCTCTTATTTATTCATTCTTAATTTTTTCATTAAAAATTGTAAGAAAAGTTTTGTACAAATATTTTAATACTTAATAATCAGGGGAAAAATTTACTTAATTCATAACCCAATTTTAAACATTATAGTACAAAAATGATAGCCAATTCATACCTTTGACTCTTTCTTTGACTTTTTCCATGGAAATGAAAAAACCATCATTTTTCTAGCTTTCTCATGAGTTAAACGCAACGGCTCTCTTTTCTCGGAATTTGTAATGCAATGCCTTTCTCTCCATTGTTGAAACTCATTCTCAGCGTTCGAAATCGTCGTATCACCCATTTTACATCCATGCAGCAAATGAAGCAATTCTTGCTGACTACGGGTTAGGGGTCTCTTCAATAAAGATAACCTGTTTCTTTGCTCAACGGCAGCTAAAAAACACGCAAACATAGATTAAATGATGTCACAATTTAAAATTTTAAAAATCGAACGTTATGTTTATACCATCCTATAGCTAAAAAGGAGAAAGAAGTTGGGAGCGCCAAAATACATTTTCTGAGAAAGCTTTATTTAAAATTAAAAGAACAGTGTAAGTGGGAAAATATGCCGCCTCCAACTTGAATACATAGCATCCCTTAAGAAAATCATTGTTCTCCAGTGGGTTCCTGCCCATTCCGGGGTTACGGGTAATGAATATGCAGACTACTTAGCAAAAAAGGGGGCCTTAATTATTCAGACTTTTGTGCACATTATGCCCTTCTGTTCAAACAGCTTATTAAGAGGACCTTTAAGACCTGTGATCATGAAGAACTTATTGACCGTACTTCTACTAAGTCTTGGAGGGCTACCATCCTAAATTTGCGAAATGGGCAAGATGAAGAGAGGTGGCTGAATTCCGCTTGGCCACCGGTCATGACTGTCTGCGGAAACATCTGTCTAGATTTGGTATCGTTCCTTCCCCGGTATGCACTCTTTGCAGTTCTGGTGAGGATATGAACTCCACACACTTTCTCTGCACCTTGCAGGGATTCTATCAATGAACGCTATTGGGAAGCTAGAGACATGTTGTGATTAATAGACTCTGTTGCAGCATCTTTTGTTTCTGTTCTTATTTTTATTAGATGTTTATGTATGCTGTTACTGTCTATAGTCTGTCATTGGATATAAGAATAAAAAAAAGCGGGAAAATAGCGAGAATAGAACACCAAAGTTGATGCCATAGCATTAATATGCAATTCATTTTTTGTTCTTAAACATGATTGAGGCACAATAGACTACTACAAAAATTTGGAGCCTGTTGAATCACAATAACAATCTAATTTGTTGCAACCTTAATATAGTGCTAAATTGAACCATACGCCTTAAACTGGGTTACTTAATGTTATTGTTCACTTTTACAAAAGCATGATTCTGTTTTACAGCAAGTTATGGCTGTCCCAATTTCGTATCGTAAAGGGTTTACCAATATTATAGTTAAATCTCAAACCATTTATTTATATATTTATCTATTTATTTATTTATGTGCATGTTTGTTTCATTTATTTGCTTGTCTGCCTACATTCTTGCCTGTCTGTAGATGTATTAATTATTTTTTTTATTTATTTATTGAAAAAGTAGAGTGGGGATGAATAGGACAGGTTACTTAAACCCTAACTATTTTACTCTCCAAACTTTTCACCAACTATTTCAAAGGGGTGTTTAGTTTCGGAATTTTTATCATTGCTGCCAAATTACTCTGAGAAAAAATGTATAGTCAAATCTACCAAAATATGGTAAAATTTACCGTTTTCTGATTCTGGGAACACCAAAAAGCTCAGTAATTTTTACCGAAGCGCTTTGGTAAGGATCTTTCGAAAATTAACAATAAAATATAGTCTTATAATATGCGATAAAACTTGGTAAATGTGGTAAAATTTGGTAATTTTAGTATGATACCTCAGAACATAGCATAAAAGCTATTTTTTCGATTAAATTTATTTTTCATTTTGATATTTCTTAATTAAATGTGTTGTAATAAGAACTATTATTTTGAAAACCAGAATTTCAGGTAAACCATTACCATATGCACAGAAAAATTACCAAATACATGGTTTAAATATTATATGTTTTGGTTTTATTAATTAGAATTATACCTTTTTTTACCGGAATTGTCATTCACATATAGTATGATAATTTTACCAGAATTTCTTTTTCCTTATAGTTACTTGAATTCATAAAATGCATTCGTTTAGACTACTTTCATTGATATTTTTTACTATTTTCTTATAAGAATAAGCAAGAAAATTGAAATGTATTGTATTTCTAATAAGAATAAATTCTTTATAATTGCTTAAAAATGGTTTTACAAATACATGATATTTACGTTTTTTTAACAATGCACTTAAAAGTTACGAAGAGTCCTACATTTCTGCTTATATTCATTTCATAAAATTGAACGGAAAGCGAATATACGGCTAAAACTTAGAAATGATGCTGCTAAAAATGCTTTTAAAGAAAATGTATCTATTCATTGTGAAGCCATTAGCTCAGTAATATTATATTCGTCCCTATCAACGGCAAAAAGAAAGGGAACAAAAGCATTAAGTGAAAGAAAAAAAACAAGAAAAGCATTTTAACGGGCATTTTAGAAATATTGAAAACACATAAATGAGCGAGTATAAGTGCTGAGAATGAGGGAAAATTAATAAGAAAATTGAAAGCAGCAGGTTATCAAATAGAGTGACGCAAATCAACTGAAATAAACCGAGTTTCTGTAACAGATAATTGATTCCAACTAGTGTCCTCTTCCCAATTACAGGAAAAAAAGTTCTGGTTGCTTATCGCTAAATTTTAAAAGGTCGCCATAAAAAATAAAGATGTATTACGCGCAATTGGGTACTTGCACTGCAAGAAGACAACCAATACTCACGCATGTGGCCTATTACGTCAGCACTAGCTAATCTTTATCAGCAATATGGAGTATTAAAGTTGAGCTAAGTTTCTTTCTAATGGTAGAATTGAAATCTTTGTGAAAGAACATAGGCTGTGTTATTTAAGATAATTGGTACTTGACAGCAGGGTTTGTTGATTTAAATCAGCTTGATTTAAATCACGATTTTAATCATGATTTAAATCAAATGATTTTTTTAAAAAAATCATTGATTTAAATCAACTGATTTTTTTTATCTGTATATATTGATTTTAAAAGTTAAAAAACAGTGTTTTAAATTTTTGATACATTTATTATTTTCTTTTCTTAGTATTAAAATTTAATTTAAATAAATTGCTGCATTAATTAATTTTAGTTAACGAAATTACTTTCTTGGTTTGTGTTAAATTCCAACACATTTGAAATTACATTTTTAAAAATCTTTTAATTCTTGAGATTGAAAGTACAGATTAAAGTAAACATTTAATGCTGTCTTAATATAGACTTGCATAGCTGTAGAAAGTAATTAATAAACATGAATTTTTTTCAAAAAATAATACAAATAATGTTAATTAAAATTCTACCTTTTGAATGAAAAAGCGTGAATTAAAATCTACATCATGTTTTATTGGTGGAAAATGTATATTTCTGAAGCTTGAGGTTATATTAAAAAGAAATTACCCTAATATGCCAAAAACAGAAAAAGAAAAAAAAAGGGCTGATGAATTCAGATGTTTTTTTCCTAATATAGTGTCATTCTTCCCTTTCAAACTCTTTCAAAGTCTATTTGATGCAGTAGGGTTATTAACTGGTATTTTTTTCTCATAATATGTTTACAGTATCTTTGACATTATCTGATTTTCTATAAAGAAATTTTGTGAAAAAAAATTCCAATGAGTACATAGATTTTCTAATTTTTTTTTAGCTTAACTTATCTATTTTGATATAGAATTAAAAGTGAATATTTTAATATAAAAATATATAGATTAAATATTTATTTATTTTTTGATGAATAACTACATTTATAAACACAGTCTGCTACATTTATTTTGTCATTTTAAAAATCAAGAGAAAAAAAAAAAAAATCACAATTTTAAATTAAAGTTATGGTTTGCTAACTGAAACTTTGTTTTAATAGTTAAAGTACAGGGGTCTGTCCAAGCCAAATTTACTACCGTTTAACGGTACCTTTACAAATTCAACTTTAGGAAAAATGATAGAATAATCACACAAAATACTTTTTCTTAAAATTTTATTTTTGTGTCTCGTAAGAAACGATAAATCCATATTTTTACTATATTTGTGTTGATTTTTTAATATAATTTTTAATTTTCACAAAATAGGTACCTCTCAGAAAAACCCAGACAGACCCCTGAAGTATTCTTTAAATTCTCTATTTCATCTAGTCTTTAAATTTTAATCATGCATTTGTTTCAAAATGGTTGCTATGCATTCAAAGCCATGTATTATAATGAAAAATTATTTTAGTTAGAGCTTCTAAAATATTGTTACAATATAGTTTTAATATTAAGTTAATTTGATTAAACATTTATAATTTTTTTTAATCATAAATTAAAGTTCCTACAGTGTATTTGAATAAATATCAAAAAAATCTGATTTAAATCAAAAAAATCCGATTTAAATCAAAAAAATCTGATTCTTTTGATTTTTTTTAAAAAAATCAAAAAAATCACGAACCCTGCTTGACAGGCTAGGAATGGAAAGAACAGTTGCTAACGTAAACAAATGCCATGTTTCAATAACCAATCAGGATCGAGATACCCATACTACGTCACTTGCAGGTATCCAGAACTAACTAGCCAATTCAGCCTTGAATCATTGCTTTCAGAACACTGGAGCTTATTAATTAATAATTAGTGGGCTGCGCCCCCTGCTCGCTAACACTCGCCAATCCCCGAAAATTACTACGCACGAAAATTACTCACTTCGCTCGCTACTAACTTAGGTACATTGCAAATACACAAAATTCTAAGAATTCAAAACAATCATTCAAATCCATATAACAACATTTTTTTAAAAAATAAATTACATCTTTTTAGCAAATACTAAGTCATTAAAATAAATTTGAATTCAAATAAATGACACGTAATTCGTTAAACCTATTAGAATTGTGCTATATTATAAAATCTTAAAGCGTAACAGCACGACTGAGACTCATTTTTCAGTGAATAACTAATAACAATAATAAAGCAAATAAATTCGTGAGATAAATCAAAAATCGTCAAATAAATTCGTAATATATAAATTCGTGATAAAAAGCGCTTTTGACGAAATACTAAAATAGAGATCCATCGACAAAGACTACTCACTTCTACCTAGCTTAACGTTACTTCAGTTTCCGTTTTTAAAAGCGCTATATGCTGTGCCACAGCAGCTAGATTCGGCATGTGACATTTTTAGCGGCAATCATTGGTCGATGATCTAGCGTTGCCATTCAAGGAGTTGTAATGAGGCTTTTTTTGTCGCCGTGTAAGAGAAATATATAATAGATGTTTTTTAAATATTTAGAGAAGAGAAGAAAACAATATTATGAAATTAGTACAGCTTAATTTTAATTCCTTGGTTCAGTTGATATTAAAATTTTATTGTTACTTACCTATGTTCATCGTAACATAATGTCCACTAGATAGAGAAGACGGACTTGTCGGACCAGTGGTACTAGCCAGATTATCTTGATTACCAACCATGTTTTGAATCAATTTCTCATGTGGTTTCGTTTTCTTTTCGGATTCTTAAAAATTAAACAAAAGAAACTTATATTGATAACTAAGATACTGCATTTTTTCAATCGTAGTTCTCTCACAAATGAACTTAAATCTATTAATTTTAACTGCAGAATGTAAAAACAAAAAATATTTACAAAAAATAGTTAACATTCGATAACTAACAAATGCTAAATTAAAACATTTATTGATTGAAAAATGAGCCTTCAAACACTTAATACATTATGTGATTAAAAAGAGACTTTAATAATAACTAATGCACAAATACTTGTAAGTAAAAGACGGAACTATTTATTAGCTAAAATTTTTAAAAAAATGCTTGACTAATTTATTTACGAACATTTAAAACGATAAGATGAAAATGAGTTTGCTATAAAAGATAATTATATTTAAATAGTGAAAATTCCAAATTGAAATTAAAATAAACTGAGTATTGTTTAATTATATATTTTTGTTTCCTATTTGAAATTAACACAGAAATAGTATGGCTGCACACAAAAATCTGCACGCTGCAAAACATTAGGGTAAAAAGTACCGGCACTGAGAGTGCCAGTATTTTTTACCGTAAAATTTATTTTTATCGGAACTTGTTACGGAACAAAAAATAAGATGTACAATAATTTTACAGTAATAATTACCCTGAAATCACTGAATTACTCTAATTAAATAAATATATATTATTGTAGAAATTTACTGTATAATATTTGAAGGTAAAAATGGATTTTACGGATGATGCTTTTAAACTGCCGGTAATTTATATCGTAATTTGATCTTGAATTTTTTACAGTGCAGAATGTTTATCCCAATTACTTGACGGTATTTGAGGTCTTACTTTGACATATTGAAAAAGATAAAACTTCATTGTGGTTTTTTCCATCAGAAAGAGCGAAAATATAAATTTTTAAGAAATTTATTTTATTTTGTATTTTCCGATAATTAACAGTATGCATAGATTAATGAAACAACAATTGTACCTGTATGTTTTTTGTTAGTCATATCCAAGTAATATTCCTCACTGTCCCAGTTCTCAGTGACCGAAATCAAAGTCGATGGTAATGAAAGAGATCTCCGAGTATATCTTGAAACAGGAGCTGCTGAAAAGTAAGATATTTTGATTAATATTTTAAATCCTATTTTATTATTTTAAAATTTTACTACTTTGCTATCAGTTCGTTTCTTTAAAAATAAAAGAAACTTAATAGCTGTATCCTTCAAATGAAATTTTTAATTTTTTTTTGTTTATACAAAAAGACGTCTTTCTTTTACGGTTAAGTCATTTTATATATTTTATCCTAACACTGCTTCAATTTGAAACAGATCGCTCGGATCGAACTTTTTTTTTTGCAATTTTCAGGTTTGAATGCTACTAGGATACATAACTGTTTTATTCTTGTCAAATATTAAATTTTATCAGATGTATGATGTTTTAATTTCACTTTTAAATACTCCAAAACATGACAAAGGGCCGGAATAGCCTGATTGGTAGGGCACTGGACCGATGTCCAATAGGTCAAGGGTTCGATTCCCGCCGACCGAAGACTCTCGGTGTAGTAAATGGTGATTGATGCACGCTAAATCTGTTAATCCTATTTTCCCATATCAGATCCCATATCCATAATCCTATTTTCCCATATCAAATCATACCTTTGAGTGTTCTGATCCAGGAGTTTCCTTGTCTTCTGGATTGGTTCAAAATTAGAAGGCTACGGAGTTGAACACTGGTAGTCGTAAACCCAAACATTGGGTCAGCTGTTCAATGACTGTTATATATATATATANTATATATATATATATATAAAACATGGTAAAAATATATATTGTTAAAAAAAATTTTGTTTCTTGGTTTTTGAATTCAAAGTCAGCAATTCGAGAAAGTAGATCTAATGCTGCGAAAACCATACATCAATACTTTAAAAAATCATTGTGCCGAATTTCTTAATTTAAAACCATACTAGTAAACATACATAAGATCACCACCTGGAAGTGAGCGAAGATCTGGTCATTAGATCAAAATTTAACCGAGATATTTGTAATTTAAATTGGTTTTATGAACTAAAAATAAATTTTTATCTTGGTTATTAGATAAAATATTTGCTATCTTTAAATTATTTAACTTGGAAATTAATTTGGTATTCAATGACTTCTAAAATGTGGAAATTAATAAACAACATAGATTTGTGTGAAAGTGATAATTAACATAACTTCATTAACTAATTAATGAATAATGGAAAGAGCATATTAGCTAATTAATTTATTTGTGTTATACTGTTGGAGTCAATAAAAAAAGTGCTATTCAAATTTAAAGTAGTTCAGATTTCAATAACCACTTTCAACTGTTACTATTTAGTTTTTAAAGCATTTTGAGTTAATGTTTGCTCACTGAGTACTGATTCTCTTAAACAGAGTTGACTGTTTCCTACCAGTTTGAGTTTAAATAGTCACCTTTATTCATTTTTCTTTAGAAAATATTGCATAGTTTGCAGAAAATACTCATACCACCTTGTACTTTCGATTTGTTTCTCCTGTTACACTAAGAAAAAGAGTATGGTCAAAACTATCAGAATATGGTAAAATTTACCGTGTTTCTGACTCGGTGGGAACACTAAGAACCTTGATAATTTTCACCGAAGCGCTTAACAGCATAAAAACCATTTATTCGGTGAAATTTACTTTCAGTTTTGCATTTTTTCTAAATATGTGGTAATAATTTAATTACAATTTTGAAAACCAAAACTATAATTTTGAAAATCAAACTTTTCAGCAAAAAATTACCATATGAGAGGAAAAATTACTGAACGAATGATACGGTGAATTTTTTTTCTCCGTGAATGTTGGACGTTTTTTGAAAATGTTTTTTTTTTAATTTTCTGTTTATAATTTTTTTAATCAATTTTCAAAGCAAGGCGTTTAAAGAAACCATTTCTTACACTTAAGTTTCAAAATACAAATTTCATATAAACTTGAGTAAAATTCCTTAAAATAATAAATTAATTCGGTATTTTTTGTCAAATAATTCATAATAGATCACCCAGTTTTTGCATGTGCTCTCTAAGAACGTATCATTTTCATACTAAATATTTTTCTATCTTATTTGTTAGAATAAAGAAACTATGCAATGTTTCTTTAAAAAATTAAAATTTTCGCTGGGTTTGATAAGTTGTATATGGAAAGAATGTGACTACTAATGACTGAAACACGATGTGTAATAACCACAATATGAAAACTATATACATTGGGAATTGTTTATCGGAATACAATATTATGAATTGTGTTTCTTGTGTCGAGATAGTGAATGATTATAGTGATTCACATACGCATTTATACCTATTGTTTTAACTGATTTTAATCAAATCAATAAATTTGAAAATATATGATGTAACTTTTCCCCTTTCACTATTTTTCCTTTTTTTTTTTTGGATTTCAAATTATTTCAATCAAATCAATAAGTTTGAAAGTATATGATGTAAACGTTTCCCCTTTCACCTTTTTTTCGGATTTCAACCGATTTCAATCAAATCAATAAATTTGAAAATATAGGATGTAAACATTTCCCCTTTCACCTTTTTTGCGTATTAAACTTCATTCATTCATCTGTTAATTATAAATAATATTTTTACTCTCACCTGAATCCACTTCGATGAAAGATTTCATTTGATAAGAAGCATCCATATCCGGTAATTTAAGTGTACTTCCGAGACTGTTTTTCTCAAAATCATCAACTTCCTGTTAAAAGAATTTCAATAATGCGCATTATTCACTAAATACATTAAATGATTTTTACTAAACATTTTAGATTGAAAAAATTTTTTTTTAAAAAAACTCAATCCATATTAAAATAATAAATAACACGCAAAAAAAACACATTTATATTTCAGAAATATGTTTTTGAACTCGATTTTAGCTATCAAAAAATTTCAAAAAGTCCCAAAATTGTTTTTTTTTTTTAATTTCTAAGAAGTCAAAATGTTTGTTTTCCAATGCGTCTCTTTTATTATTTTTAAATGCATATTTTTTAAAATCCCAAAAGTGTTACAAAATGCATAAAATAATTATGGCATAAAAATAGTTTGTTGCTGTTAACTTCTTATATAAAAGCAAAATCAATTAATCAGATAGTTAAGGAGAAAGCACAATGATATGAAACGTATTGTTATATAGATAGTATAATGTTTTGAATTTAAGTTTTAAATTTCTTAAAATCAATTATACAGTTTTCTTCCGTTCCCTAAAATCGTACTACTCACACATTTTTATTTCTATTATCATTGTTTTTATTTTCAGATTTTGACTGTTTCAGGTGGAAGCAAAATGCCCTGTTTAAATTATCGCATAAATATATCTTTATTTCTAGTTTTATGATTTTGGTTTTTATGAAGATAACACTCAATGTAAGGGAAATACCCATAAGGTTTCATTTTGCATTAAAACGCTATGGTACCAAAACTACTTCTCAGAATTAAAATTGGAAACATTCATCAATTATGGTACATTTTAGGTAGATTAATTCTCAAATATGCACCCAGGAATTTAAAGACCTTTTGTTTTTGTTTTTTTCAAAACGTTATAGCCAAATTAAGAACTTAATGTGCTTTTTATTACAATATAATAAAAAAAACTTAAGAATATAAATATTATTTTTATTTGTTAGATAAAATATTAGAATGCTTTTCAATGAAATTTTGAAACTTAATAAATTTTGAAATAAAAATTTTTTGAACATTTTTTATTGAACTGAAAAGTTTTTTGAAACAATTGTTAACCGTATTTAAAAACTTTTCATGGTACATATTTCAACGTCTAGACATGAAGTTTTCAAGACATGAATGCCGTGTGGAAATATTTTTTTCATCGTTGTAATAAGATATTACATGTTTTACAATAAGCTTCTACAAATAACTGAGCAAGATGTTAAAAACATAAAAATTTAATATTTTCATCTGTTTTTCGTAATTTCTAAAAACTAAATTGTTGTATTTATAAAAAAGTTCATATATATATTTTAATTATTAATTTATTTTATGTTTTAAGAGTTTAAGAAGGAACATTTAAAAATTAAAAGAATCACTAACGTCGCATCTATATTTTTTTAATTTGTAAACATAACACGCAAATGATGAATATTATTATTATATTATTGATGAATATTTATGATTTGCTTGTGATAAATTATAAATTATTCATGATAACATAGTATTTATTCATGTTACTTTTACACGTCATAAATAAAAGCTTTTGCGATTACTTACATTACAATTAGGAATAATAACAAAAAACAAAAATTTGCATTTTTACTCCGTTGCAAGTTAAGAAAAGACTATTGCGATGTAGGATCAAAATAATCTTCCGCAGCAACATTAGTTCCGTTTTATTTAGTTATCAAATTATATAATTATGCTTTAAAAATATATAAAAGTTTTCAAAAGTTAAACTTGTCGGACGGAAATTTAATTCGTACTATATTTTACGATATATATTTTACAGAATTATTAAAAAAGGGTTATAGTTTCATCGTCTTACTAGAATCATAAACTTGATGATTTATTTCAATAAATGAGGAGAACATTCGTTCTTGAAAAAGAAAAAGCTATATGACTTTGCAAGGACATTGAATTTGATTAGACCATTGAAAATAGCGCGTTAAGAATGTTTACTTTTGTTTTGCTGTAGTAGAAAATCGTCTGCACGAAACAATATTTATCATTCTTAAATCAGTTTTTTTAAATGCGATCAAAAAGTCGTATATTTGTAACGATTTTTAAATATCATTTTTATTAATTCTTATTAACAAAATAATAGTTTTTATTCAATAAGTTTTAATTTCCTCATTTCACACTATTTAAGATGGCAAGCAAGAAGAAGGTTGTGCAACATCATTTCAAAAGTTAGCGATGTTGATATACGTTCGCCCTTACTAAGTTCTTTGGCTTAGCATCTATTTGGCGTGCATTTAGATGCAAACAGGTTCTACAATTAATATTTTGTTTCAATATAAATAGAACAAAAAAAATATTTAAATAACGAAAATGAAACTTACGTATGAACCATATTCAATGCCCTGCGATATCACATTAACAAATTTTGTAATCTTCAGAATCTTTTTAACAAACACAAAAGCTTAGAAATTTATGAAAAAGATAAAGCGAAATATGTTTCCAAACTTGATGTTAAAACAATGTTACTAGATATCGTTTGGTTTTTATTTTTTGAGCTCATCGATTTTGAATAATTTTTCATTGCATAATTGCAAACAATGCTTCATATACATTTTTCTCATAATTTTCTTTTATTAATATATTTGGGCTAAAATGAGCTTTCTAATGTTTTACAATATATAAATTAGTGCTATAGAACAATTTTTACCCAAAAAAGTTTTAATATGCTTTTATTTATAAGAAAAAAACATGACTTTTTGAGCAGACGATTCTAAAAATGGCGCATTTTAAGAACTATTTTCTTACTTTCAGTTTAAAACTCATGAAATAAAATTAAAGAAATACTATTTCAGTCACACATTTTATTTTAAACGTTATATTAGTTTGGAGTTCGAAGCAATAAAATTTTATAATTTGAATTTATTTTTACAGAAAATGGGAATGTATTTAGCACGGAATAAAGGCATTTATTACAAATCATAAAAAAGATGTTTTTCTATATACTTTGACACTAGAGAATGACTATTGATATATACAGTTTTTAAAATCATATTACAAAATAAATATTACTTTAAAGTTTAAAAAAGTTTATTTTTACTCTGATTTCTAGTGTGGTGAGATAATAACCATATTCTATCAGCGTTGGCAATATAAAGATATTTAAATAATTTGTCGGTAGGGTGTCTGTAACATAATTACTTATACAAGTTTGCGCCATATTAAATGAACTATTTTCTTTACTTTCTAGCTATCTATATGAGCTATTCTAGCTTCTAATGAACCATTTTCTTTACTATCTATCATTATTATATCTAACTGTAATGAGTTAGTAGAATTACTATGAGTGATGTTGTAGACTTTGCTTACTAGATGAATACCCGCTCTTTTTACGAGGTATACATAAAGTAAATAATCTATAAAATGGTATTATTCAGTACTTCGAAATCGTCCATTAGAAAATCTCCATCAGAACGTTGCATCACACTAAAATATGCCCACACAAAAAATTAAATAAATCATATCGTCCTCCATGAAGGCGATATTTTCCCCCAATTGATCCAGAAGTTTTCTTGTCTTGTGGATTGGGTTCAAAATTATGAGGTTATGGAGTAATCTTTATTAATAGTTATAAACCGAAAATGGGTCGGCTGTTCAACAACGGTTATAAACTAAAATAAGTCTTATCTAGTAATGTACCAAAAATTTTTCGCCTCTTGTTCAAAAGACATACTTTTTAAAATAATAAATAAGTTTAATTACATTTAAAATTCCTTATTTTTGATATTAATATTTTTGTTTTATTCGCAATAATTTTTGTTTACAACAAAAAATTCATTATGTAATTAATTATACCTTTCCAGACAGCGGGCAACCTTACGATGAACGTAGCATTTTTATTTTAATTTGCTTGTCATAGAAAGGTTGACTAATAAATTCTTTGCTTAAACTGAGTAGAAATATTAGTATTCCCAGCTTTTGAATAATGACAAAACAACTCATTTTTTAGCTTTTACTGTAAACCATGTTTTTGTCTTTTTTTCATACTAGTTTTGTCCACAATCAAATGCAAAATTTTGTTTGTGTTGAAAACTTCAATGTTTCAACAAAAAAAATTTCAGGCTAACCATCACTTTTGAAATTTTAAAGAAAGTATATAAAAGTCTGCGCAAATAAACCTTGTTTTAGTGATGGTGTTAAAAATCTAAAACACATCTTGAGAAAGTGAATTTATCCTCGGTTTTAGAAGTTTGTCAGTTGTGCAAGCTTAGTGCAAGTTAGTTGTACTCAAGGCAAACCTCATAGCGCGCATAGTTAAATTTAACATTGTTTCAAGCTTGCATGGTTTATTTACTAATCATTTATAATTCTGTTGATAAAGGTTGTTTCTGACATTAAAATTAACCTTTCGCTGCTTTTTGAGTTATAAAACGTATCGCTAACTGACCGATAGACTGTATCAGTTGTCATGGTAATCATTGACAATTATCAAACTATGTATTTAGAAGCAATGTAGCAATACTGATAACAGAAAATTTTAGTATCAATAAAATATATTAAGTATTACTTTTTCTGTCACGTCACTCTCTTTGATTGTAAGTTCTGTTGAATTAATGGACGATGCAGTATCCTCATCCATTGAAAGGCTTGAATCTTTCACTCCATAGTGTTCACAAAGTGTTTTAAAGTTTAATTCATCATCAACATCATTTTCTATAAATATAAAATGCAACTAATAAAAAGCATGTTATAAAACCCCTTCTGAATTATTTTTTATTTACTTTCACAGTAGTATAAAAACTCCTTACATACCTTACGAGTTTATTATTTATCAGGTGAATTTAAGTAAATACTGAGCTTAGTTAGTACAGTTTTAAAACATTTTAACAGGAAAAATTTATATTAAAAAAAAACAAATCTTGCTCAAATGCATGAGGTAAGGCATTAATTTTTTTCTCCGTTAATTTGTTCAAAAAAAGTACTGTTGTAAATTCTTTCCGCGTTTCATATTGGATTTTAAGTAGTTTATTTATTTGAGTAATTGGTCAACTATTTCCAGCTCTATTTGTTGACATTTTTTTAAAACTAAAGTGGAAAATTACGGCAGGAAATCCTAATTTTCTGTCACATAAGTTTACTCCAAAAGTCTACTATTTTTTTCTTTTTATCATAACCTTAACCATTTCCCTATTATAAATTTTCGAAAACCGTCAGTCCAATTTTTGAAAAAACCGGCCAGCGTATCTTGTGTATCTGTATGCGGTTTTTGTGTATCCTGAATCTGTATACATGTGCATTATCATCATCAGTCGCAATGGCATCTTTAAAATAATACCATTACTTCTTGAGTTACTTTAATTATGTAAGGCAAAAACCGTGGTGGCTCAGATGATAGAGGGCTCGTCTCACAACGACGTAACCCGGGTTCGAATCCCAACTAGGTAACTGGGGTTCAAATCCGAATGAGGTAACCCGGGTTTGAATTCCAGCGATGGTTGTTCGATACAAATTCTGCCCCTGGCTTGCACAGACCACAATGATGACGTAAAATGTTCTTAGTGGTAAACGGATCATGGGTTAGAGTCCTTTTTCCGTTAGGCTAACCTTGGGAGGTTTTCGTGATTTTTCTCTCCATGCAACGCAAATGACTGTTAGTTCCAGCAAAAACTCCTCCATGAAGGCAAACTTTTCTGAATACTTGATCAAGGAGTTTCGTAGTCTTCTGGATTGGGTTCAAAAACACAAGGCTATGGAGTTGAACATTGGTAGTCGTAAACCCAAAAAATTGAGCTGGCGTTTATAAAATCAAAAACAAATTGTGTCAGGCAAGGAAATTTGAAAAAAATTATGATCTCGTACTTATTAATAATAAATAATAAGTAATAAGTTAAAATAATATCTCGTAATTATTATTTATTATTATTTTACATTATTTTAAACATTTTCTAAATGGATTGAGTGGGCATTTTTGCACAAATCACTTTTGGTGATGAAAATAATTTAATATGGTAGGCTGCTAATTGAGTATTAACAACACTAATTTTTGAAAAAAAAATGAAAAAAAAAAAAAACTCCTAACACCAGCCATATTCCATAAATTCACATAATTGTTTCACTATTTTTTCAAATTGTGTCAGTTGAATTTTCAAAGTTTCAAGGAAAAAAAAATTTAGCAAATTTTAATAAACTTTAATATCACTTGAAAAAAATTTTCAAAAAAGAAATTTAAAAGAATACTAAAAAGATAAATTTTTATAGCAACTATATTTTTTCAACATATATTAGACGAAATGCTAAATTTATATTGTACCTCTGTTATGCTGTATCCTTTTATACATAAATTAGATTAAATTTATTTGTAATCAATGTATTTTTATTTCATCAGACACTATATTTTGGAAAAAAATTCTTCGAAAGAGTATTCGAAAAGGAATTTTACAATTAATTTAGCTATATATCATTGAATAAAAATTGTTTTCTTTCTTAGTTTAAATTTTACTTTTTATTAAAGTTAGCATAGGAATCAACGCCTTTGGAGTAACAAATGATTATAGATAAAGATTTATAAGTACAAATTAAAATATTTTCGCGAATTTTAACATATTTATTTAGAAAATACAAATACATTATTGACAATCTTTAAAACTTAGAGAAACAGTTTTAAATGACGAAACAGCCTAATATTTATTTTATAATTTTTTCCTCTTTTACAGTGTAGTTAAAATCCAAGTAATTACCTTTTAAAATCTGCTTGATGCTTCCAATCAGCAAATTGTTCTTCCATTGCCTATTAACTCGTCATCATTTTTTTTTGTCATTCTCGATATTTAAAAATAATGACCGACAACAAACTTTTTAGTCACAGCGGAGAATTAAAAACAAGAATTTAAAAAAAAAGGAAATGTGAAAACACATAATAAATTACGATAACGAGCTTAGTTGTTGAAAAACATAAATAGTTGAGTAAGTCATTAAAAAAGACTCAACACGTTGGGAAAGTTGTGATGATTCATTGCGGAAGTGTAAACAGCAACAAATGCGAGTTTTTTTTTTTTTAACTAAAAGTTGTGCAATAAGCCGTGGAAATTCATTTCATACACATGTAAATTTTTTTTTCTGTTGATAATTTTGACCTTGCCAACACTTTATTTTTTGAAACGTATTGTTTGAAAATTAATTTTTATTTAAAACATCCAACTAATTATTTGTTTTCATAATTTAGAACACACATGATGCCGTATACCGATAGTAAATATTTGTATCCATTTCGGCAAGCATGACTTCGAAATACCTGTAAGTGTATGCATGTCGAATACTACATAAACATTTTCTTTCCTAGTTACAATCCATAAAATATTCGTATCAATTCTATGCATCTATGAAATTATTTTATAATTGTGAATAAAATTGATACGCAATTTACCTATACACTGAGAAAATTCTGTAAAATTCTGAGAATTGACTATTAATTTATAAGGCAATATCACTCCTGTGCGGAAAAAGAGCCCAGTGCCCGTAAATTTAACGAATTTCAATAAAATTAGTAGAATCGACCTTTAATTAATAAGGCTAGTTCCTTGAACCACGGTAACTCAGAGGACGTGAGCCTCCCAATGAGATGACCCAGGTTTGAATCCCAGTGGTGGCTAGTTGATACGAATTCTGCTTCAAACTCGTACCGACCACGGTGCTGACGTAAAATATCTTCAAGAGATAGACGGATCATAGTTTAGAGCGCAAATGCGGGCTATTTCCATTAAAAAATCCTTCACGAAGACTAGTTTGTCCCTACTCCTGATCCAGAAGTTCCCTTGCCTTCTGGGTTGTGTTCCAGTCCAGCGAAAAAAACTTCCTAAATCACCTTGGCCGGGGTTTCCATAATGATTAAATCATCTAGTTATGGAGCCAAAGTTACTCCTTCCACGTAAGAGGCCATGGACAACGAACACGCAACTCCTTCACTCCTCGATTGATAACAGTATTTCAACTCGTTACATGGTTCGCCTTGATTCGGTAAACGAATCGCTTTAGTCTCAAACAGCATTGGAGCCATAAACTAAAGAGAACTTTTACGAGCATAATGTTAATTTACTCTCAGTAGCCATTTATTGGGAGCGGGAAAATTAAATGGGGAAACCGGTATTTTTGTGGTCATGGTAACTTTACGGGCATACTTTTTCTACAATGCTCAAAATATATTTATCTGCATAACTTCATATGTAATGCATAGGTAACTTCATAAAGAGGAAAAAATTTCGACTCGCCTAGAAATATTTAAAAAAATCATATTTCACAATGAAAAATGTTGATTAGCCCAAAGTGTCCTGAATACCGAATAGCAAAATAAATGAATCGTTATTAAAATGAAATATATAATAATAAAATATCATTTAAGAATGAAAATATCATTTTAAAACAAACGAAAAAGAATTCTTGCCAAAAAAAGTAACAAAAACAGTAAAAAAATATTAATGTTTAATGTTCGCATAAATAAAAATGTTAATTAAACAGCTTATACATAAAAAAAAAGTAAGTAAACAATAAGATGATACTGGATGATATCAGAAAGCTAAATTTTAAATTTAAAAAATTACGTTAAAATTAAAATTTAGTTTATATACCGTTAGCACCAACTAGATTTAAAATAATATTTAATAAACACATTAGTACCTTTTGTTTCTTGTGATGGCAGTGTAAAATTAAAGGACATGGTGTATAATTTAAATCATTTTTAAGGTTATTTCTGAAAAATAAGTGTGCTAGGCAAATGTTGATTAAGCAGTTTATGAGAAATAAAAATAAATAAATAATATGATGTTATTGGAGGAATCCAGAAATGTTTAAATTTTAGAGTTAAAAAAATTCCGTTAAATTCTAAATTTAACTTCTGACTCAGAAATTTCTGATTCAGGTCTTACACAATATACAATTAGCATATACATACTATTAACACAAATATATGTACCACATATAACATGTGTACGTAATGTTAGCACAAACTTGATTACAAAAAAAAGTTTGATTAACAGTTACTTTAGTACTTCTTGTTTTTTGCGGTTGCTTTGCAAAATTAAAGGATAGGGTTTAAAATCTAAATTATTTATACCTAATTTATTTATGAAAAAAAGTATACTAGAAAATTTTTTATTTAGCAGCTTATTATATACTATTTGCATATACATACTATTAGCACAAATGTATGTACTACACATAGCATGTACGTACTGTTAGCATAAACTAGATTACAAAAAAAGATTTTATTAACAGTTACATTAGTACTTTTTGTTTTTTGTGGTTGCTCTGCAAAATTAAAGGATAAGGTTTACAATCTAAATCATTTATACCCGAATTTATTTACGAAAAAAAGTATACTAGAAAAATGTTTATTTAACAGTTTATTATATACAATTAGTATATACATACTATTAGCACAAATGTATGTACTACACATAGCATGTACGTACTGTTAGCATAAACTAGATTACAAAAAAAGATTTTATTAACAGTTACATTAGTACTTTTTGTTTTTTGTGGTTGTTTTGCAAAATTAAAGGATAGAGTTTACAATCTAGATCATTTATATCCGAGTTTATTTTTAGAAAAAGTATACTAGAAAAATGTTTATTTAGTTTATGATAAATAAAAAGAATAATGTTGTTCGTTGAATCCAGAATTTCTAGAATTCAGCTAAAATCTAAATTATTATAGGAAACTTTTCACACAAACCTTACACTGCTAACACAAACTGGATTAAAAAATGAGTTTTAATAAACACTTACATTAGTACCTTTTGTTTTTTGTAGGTTGCTCTGTAAAATTGTAGGATAGGATGTATACTCTAAATCATTTATATCTGAGGGCATTTCTGAAATGTAAGACAAAAATCGTAGCTGCTCATCCAGATTTATTTCTTCTTGTGTCGACTGAACGTGCCTGAGATTAAAATTTTTCCCGTTTTCCGGAGATCTACTTAAAAGTCTCTGCATGTCCCATAGCAAATGTATCTTTTGTTGAGCCATGATTGTCCCATTCTTTAGGACCATTATACTGACCACATGAGGGCTATATAAGAATGAATCTGAAAAATAACATACAAACTAGCCATAAGTTCACAACTGAATAGGAATTTTTTAAAAAAGATTTGGTTTTGTTCAAATGAAACTTACTAAATAGAGAAAATTTCAATACGTATGGATTCATAGATTCAGCTGCAACCTCACAACTCATTTTGTTGTCTAGCCTGATTTTTATATCATCTGATTTCTCAATAGCTTTCGAAAATATCACATAAACAGTATTATTGTCCTAAAAATATCAAATGATAATATATAAATTGGAGATAAAAACTCATACTCTTAAAAAAATTCTAAAAGTGATGTATAATTTATTTGCTTATACACTGAAGAGCCAAAAAAAGTGTTATACCTGCCTAATATCGTGTAGGGTACCCGCAAGTACGAAGAACAACGCGACGTGGCATGGATTCGATCAGTGTGTGAAGTAGTGCTGGAGATAATTGACACCATGAATCCTGCAGGGCTGTCCAGAAACCAGTGGGAGTAAGAGGGGGTGGGAATATCTTCTGAACGTCACGTTGGAAGGCATCCCAAATATGTTCAATAAAGTTCATGTCTGGGGATTTTGGTGGCCAGCGGAAGTGTCTAAATTCAGAAGAGTGCCGCTGGCCACCAAAATCCCCAGATATGAACATTATTGAATATATTTGGGATGCCTTGCAACGTGATGTTCAGAAGATATCCTCGCCCTCTCTTACTCTCACTTATGGACAACCCTGCAGGATTCATGGTGTCAATTATCTCCAGCACTACTTCACACATTGATCGAATCCATGCCACGTCGTGTTGCGGCACTTCTGCGTTCTCGCGGGTACTCTACACGATATTAGGCAGGTATACCAGTTTTTTTGGCTCTTCAGTGTATATGTAACATATAAACGATCTTAAGTTGTTAGAATTGATTTCTGAATGCTAGTGTTTGTCCGTTTTTGTTTAAAAATAAATAAGCGAATAACTTTTCAGGGTTACTGGAATTGTACAATTCTTATTATGTAAAAAATATGAGAATTCCTATTGAAAACTGAATTTATTAAATAAATATTTACATAAATATTGCATTTAAACAACATTTAATAATTTATTTAATGATTTTGACAATGATTTAATGATTCATTTAATATTTTTCTTAAATGCCAAATGAGATTTTTGATCTAGATTGATGTTCTTCCAGAACATTTCATTTGAATATGATGAGTTTTGTTAAGTTTTATTTTACTTATTTTTTTTCTAATGCCCACCTGTGTTAACATCCGTCAATTCAGGCAGATTTTGTTGACCTCTCTTTCAGGGGCAACCATATTAGGTGGGTAAACATCGCTCCCACAGTGAGGACAGATAGTACAGAGAAGGAAAGAACATCCATGCCTTGCCCAGGATTCTAACCCAGAACCTTTCTGATGCAAGGACAGTTCCCTGCCCCCTACACAGGCCGGTCGGCAGTTTTGTTAAGTACACATGATCGAAAATCGGTTAAAATATTTTTAAATTATTAAGAAAAAAAGACGAATAAAAAATTCGTCTAATCTTTTTAATCGTTAAATTTCGAAATTTTAACCCAACATTATGGATTTTTCTAACCACCCCTGTGTTTTAGGGTTACTATACATTCCTAGCAGCCGTGCATCTTTTATTTTTATTTTATTTGTAGATAGATCCCTAATTGAGATATAATCTTAGAGAATACTGATCTCAAATTTGCTCCATATTTTATCCGTCTTAATAAGGTGATTTATATTTATATCAATACCTTAGTTTATTACAGAAAGGGATTTAAAATGGTTGAATTCATTATCTTGCAATGCAGAGTGATTTAAAAATGTATCGCGCACGAAAGTTATGTTCTAAAATTACTTACTTTGGTAAGATATTGAGGAACAACTATCACGTCATCTTTCTCTGAACAGCCATTGTATATCACTGATTTGACTTTATTGATTAAATCAGTAGGAAAAACACGCTTTTTTTCACTTCCATGGGATTGTTCTTCAATGTGGAACTTACTCCAACTATTGAAATCTCTAAGAGATGCAGTATGGTAACATCGGATATCTTTTTCTGCTAATCCATTACAAAAGATAGCCACAACTGACTTCGGCTCCAGCTGGTTGCATATGTAAAAAGCATCCAACGGCTTCGTTTCCAAGAAAGTTAAGAATTTCGGTGAAAAAAATATAATGTAAAGCCTAGAATTGGACAATTTCTGAATATGAGATAGCTTTGGAATTTCTTCCTCATCGTCTAAGCAAATGGAGTTGATTGAAACATTGTTCAAACATGTGAGAAGTTCCTTGGTAAGTTCGTCAGTGTCTGTTGTGTAAAGAATAAGTATATTACACGTCATTCTTCCTTGCATAGATCAATCTGTAATATTAAACAAAGTGTAAAATTTCCTTTTTTATTGTTTTAGATCAATGTACACTTACATGACATTTTTGAGCTGTGAAAAATGCCGTATCAAATTACGGTAAAAAGTAGCGGCCCTCAGGGTGTCGGTACGTTTTATCGACACCCTGAGGGCCGCTACTTTTTACCGTAATTTGATACGGCATTTTTAGCATACGGCAATTAGCTGCCTCACCGTGGCGAGGGGGTGCCACTGGGCGGAATGGGCGAAGAACGTCGGGAGCTTAGCTCCTGGTAGGGCCACCCTAGGCGTGAAGGCCATTCCATTATGCCCAGCTAATGCTAGCAGGTGAAACTATAGAGCTAAATCAGTATTCTACCTTTGGTGCTCCAGGTCACTTTCGGCCAAGAGAAGCTGTAACACTTTCCCCTGTACCATGAGTCTAGTTTTATCAAAAATACATTTTTATCGTAAAATTTTACTAAACAAAAAAATCTGATATACTGTAACTTTTACAGTAATGTTTGCCGTAAATTCACTGAATCTTGGAAATAAAATAAATATTTCTGCAAGAATTATCTAATTTTACGGGAAATATGGATTTTACGGATGCTGCACCCTTGCCAGTGCTTTTTACCGTAATTTGATCCGGAATTTTTACACTTAAATTTAGTATTCTGGTAATAAACAAAAAAAACTATTTAAATGAACTGTTGATAATGCAGATGTTCCCGGTAGTAGAAGTAGCACAGCACGATAATGGCACTACAGATTCAATCTAGCCTGGCGGGGGAAAATAAATCATACTTTAAGAAAAAAAATTACAGACAAAACAAAGTTAAGCATAAAAATATCAGTCTTACCTATAGTAACTATTTAAATTTCAACATTATGTCTTTTAATCTTCTCTAATTTACTTTCAGAAATTAATTTTAATCACTTTCGTTTAGAAATACTATTAGTTTAGTGCATTAGACATTTTTGACTTTTGAAACTAGTGAAACATATATTAAATTCTAATATTTTAATTAATTTAAATTCTAATATTTTATCACACGTTCCGCAGTGAAATGTTAGAATTTTTCCTTAGTGTTGCAAATCAATACTGAGTTATTACTACTGGGCATGAGTTATGATGTAACATCCTTATAAAAACTTTTATAAAGGATAATTGTTTATATATATATATATATATAACTTTAATCACGTTAAAATATCAAAAAATAAATTTTAGAAAATAAAATAAAGTAAATAAAAAAAAA